AATGATCGATAATTTTTATTCATCAACAAACCTTTAGATAAATTAAAATTCAAAATGTCTTGTTAAAAAATTCAATATTTTAATAAAATTTATTATTTTAAAAATCGATAATAAATTTTCGTAAAATTTGTATTTTATATATACTCCTGTCTAAAAGTAAATTCTATTATAATTGTATTTACATAATAATCCTCCCCAATACCCCAAAAAGAAACAAAAAACAAAATATCACTTGTAAAATAAAATTTTGAGCTTTGTTATCCTTATCCCTTTTCCTTGCTTTATTGGCATTGTCACCGTGCCCCTATATCTACCACAGTCTCACATCACATATTGTCTGATTATCTGTATATTAAAATAACAGTTTCTGCAACAGGTCCTACAGTATCCTTTCTATAAACCTATCTATACAACCTAACTTCTAAAGTTTCATTCATCTCAAACACTTCCATAATTACTTTTGAAATCATACATACTTTTAAAGGGCAATGTTCATTCATCACACAAAAAACACCTATATAAATCAAATATACTGACTATTAAATATTACAAGTTAAATTGGATCCCAAAAATCCAAAAATAAATCAAAAATTTTTCTTATAATTAAACAATTTTTTTTAAATAAAAAATTTATTAACTTAAAAATTAAAAACTATCTTTAATTATTAATATGAAAAAAATCTATAAGCAAAATGAAAATTAATTGGATTAAAATTTAAGTTAAAATTTTTGCAAAAATTTAAAGGCTCAGATTTCATTGATATTTCTTAGAAGTGCAAATAAGGTATTACTCAGAAGGATCTCTGATTACAATACTAATATTTGTCGGTTATTAGAGTGTCATACAGTCATAAATATTTCTACGTCTGTTAAAATGGCCCGCATGTATCCAAGGATTAAATTTCAAGTATTGAAACCTCTACAGTTAAGTAAATTGAATGACTCGAGTAAAATTTGTAATTTAGGTGTAATGTATCTGGACATAAGACATCAGTAGTTTTACAGGAGGGGAGAATAAGTTCGTACTAACGTCACATACTTTAAATTTTTCCAAAGTTAAAAGAGATAGAAGGTATTTAGCGAAATACTATGACTCATCATTTATGTATACCTGTTTAAGATATTGTAAATCTTGGTTGACCTTGGGGGAAAAATCTTTAAAATATATAATAAAATAAAGTATGAAATATAAAAATTTAGAGTTTAGTTTAAGCAAACATTTAAAGTACTGAATATTATTTTTACAGTCAAGTCTAGAGATGCTCAGGATGTTTCTCAATAAGGGGATTATTTTTAGAATATTTATTTTTGAAAACATATTTATGAACATTATGATTGATGTTTAGTGTTCCATTAGTTTAATGATCATGAAAAAAATATTTATAATTTTTTGGTTATTTAGATGGGAAATTTTTAAAAAAATTTTATGGATAAATAAAATTTCCCGATTCTTTTAAAAGTATTTCTAACGATGAACATAGAATGACAACTGTCTATACCTACATAGGCAAATTTTATTTGCCCCGTAAATTACGTACTTACTTAATGATAAGCTGAGGATTAGTGATTTTTGTTAACAATAAGTTGAGAAAATTAATAATGAGATTAGAATATTAGGTTAACATGCGTAATTGGATTCAGGATTGGGTAAATTTAGATTCTACAAGTTGACAATGGGATTCTTAAAAACTCATTAACCAAATATTTTGTAAATAAATTTTAGTAATTAGGTTATTACTTATTGATGAAGGGTTTTTTTTTTAACCAAATTGGCAAAATTGGTATCAAAAAATGTGATGTTATACCAAAAAAAAATAAAATATAATAAATTCAAATGTTACAATTAAATAATTTTATACAAAAAAAAAATTGGATTTAAAACAGTACAAGGAAAAAAAATAAGTGTAGCAACAGGGTTTTTCCTTTGAAAGCTACAAGATAAAATTAAGATTTTAAATAATGTTTATTTTTAGCAATTTTACATTGTCAAAAAGTTTGAGTAACAATAATTAATAATTTCAACAGCAATGTTTATCATTTTTCAAGTAAAATATATTAGATTTAAAAAAATGTTTTTTTTTAAGGTTGCACGGACAGTACCCCGTAAGTCATAGTAGAATCTAAATTTTTTTTTCATTAAACTTAAAAATTTAAATACGAAAATTCATTACTATAATTTAATCGTTACCTTACATTATTATTAAATAAAATAATTTAATAATTTAATTAACAACAACAATAAATAGTCAACGTTTGACTCAAGTATTTTTTCACAAAACTTGGACCTGACAACACCGCACTTAACAGCTGTTTATATTTATCTCACTGTGTAGTGTTGAGTTGAAAAACATAACCCATAAAAATACACAGGAATTACTAAAATTCAAAATTGGCGCGTTCTATTCTGTGCAACGTTGCCACACTGCGCTGAATCACGTGGTTTGTTTATTTTTAAATATGTCGGTCTGAAATTTTCGTGAATTTCTCATCTTTTGCATTAAAATACCTTTAAAAGCCTTCGGCAGAAAATTTTCATTTTATTTTTAACGTATTCTACGAAAGTTGATTGACTGAAATAGAAGTTTTTTGTTTTTTAATCTTCCTATGAGGCAGTCACATAAATCGATATATGTGCAATCCGCCAATAGTCTCTATAGGCTACATGTTAAATTTCAATTTTTTAATAATTTATTAAAGGATAACCCTTCGACAGATTTATTCAAAAAAATTAATTTAGACGTATGAGATAGCAATTCATAACATATCAAAAAATTAGCTTCTGATCTTCAAAAGTGCATTAGTGTCCGTATAACCTTAAACAAAATTTTCATTACGGATTATTCTTCAATATTTTTTTCCATATATAATTTATATTTTATTTTATTAGACTTTTTTTGAACGTTAATAATTAATATTTGTTAAAATTTTGTAGGTATAAGGAAATTTTACACGGCAAAAATTAAATTTTAATATTTATTATTGTAATTTTATAATTGGTAGTTTTTAAAATTTTATTGAATAAAATTTAATAATGATAAAATAATTTCACCTTTAAATATTAAAATTTTTTTCATCTCAAACTTTTTTATTAAAAGTATTTTAAAAATAATTTCACCTTTAAATATTAAAATTTTTTTCATCTCAAACTTTTTTATTAAAAGTATTTTATAATTTGTTAACTTCCTAGGTCACTTCAAAGACTGGAGTTAACAACTTATTAGCTATTTATAATAAAAATATTATTTTAATAATAACAACCCTTACAAACTAAGATCTTGAATCTCTAAAGTAACTTAAGAAGATGAAAAATCATCAAATAATTTTATAAAAGAGTGAGATGAAAAAATATTTAAACAAAAAAATTGATTAAAAAATAGAATTAGAGTTTTTAAATACACGTGACAGTAATTGTAACCATCCTGATAACTACCTGTAATAATAAAAGTTTACCATAAAAAAATTTTAGTCAATAAAATAGTCAGATAATAACTAATTATAATAAAAAAAATAATAATTATCAATAATTAATTTTCTTCTTGTCAGAGTAAAATTATTAAAAGTAAATTGAATTAAAATTATAAATTTTCTATCAAGACAGCTAAAAAAATGCAATTTAATATTTTTAAAAAATAATTTAAATATCTTCCAAAAAAAAGAATTTTATTAAAAAATTATCAATAATTAATTTTTAAATTCATTAAAAAATAATAAAAATCTCATCAATCATCAACGAAGCAATTTAAATATTAATTAATTTTTAATTAAAATACAATCTAGCATAAAAACAATCTCGAAGATCCCCCCACTAATTGACCCTATTACTTGATAACCGTGCGATGTATCTAGCACACACATCCGTACTCTAAAACCGTCAATGAGCTGAAAGCATGAATTCCATAATATACCAGTAGTCCTCATGTCGGGTCATGATCGCAGTATAAACTCCAGTACTGAGCAAACTCTAAAAAACGATCCTCGAAAATCTGATCCAGATCTAAGGATTTCTCGTAGTAAGCGCGGGGAAGACAAAATGACCGGCGGTTCGTAAAATGGAGCTACAGTCCGCTAGACGTCGCTCCGAGGACTGGCTCTCACCGAAGCGACGCCCACCTTGATCTCTTTCACGGATTGGCTGGGAGAAATGATGGCAGGCTGGCGTGCCAATCGATTCTTGGCACGGAGCTTCTCCCCAACCGTTGCTCTCTATTCTATATGGCTGGCCTGGCACAGGGGTGGGGACTTTTCCTCGAGTGGGGAGCTTTCGGGGATCCTCGGGTAAGCCGACAGCGTTTACGATCAGTGTGAGCGACAGAGACGCCCGAAACGCACAAGACCGACTCCCATTCGAATTAATAGATTCACAGTGAACTCACCACAGTCAGACAGTTTCAGTCTTTCGAAGCGAGCGGTTCTTTTAACTTATCGCTTTTACACACAACGTGCGCGTGGATTTTTACATACACAGTACAACACACTCAGTAGATTAACGTACATTCTTCTAGTTTGTTAATACCCGTTCTTCTATCACCGTTATCGGAATTTAATAGTCACCAATCGCTAATATTTAGCCACTTTGTTGTTAATAATTAACAGTGAATATTATAAAATAAATATTAATATAGTGCGGTGATTTAATAAAACTGTGGTGAAGGTACTTACACCCTATTTGTTTTAAAATAAGTGAAAGTGCCAAAACTGCTAGTGCATTGACACAAATCTAGATCCCTTAAGCCGCTCCACCGAGTGATATGTTCGCGAAAAATATTATATTTTCATGTTTTTACTTAATGTGCGCTACCAGTGACTTGTTATCGTGTTGATAAATGTGCTACCACTTATAATCCCAGTAAATCACCAAAAAACAGACCAACTTATCGCCCAATGAGTTAACGGGCCTGACAATCTAAAACCAAATTACCATTTAGAGTGAAGTGGACCAAGTTAAAATCGTTTATCGTAATTAACAAGCCAGCAAGCTGTACGGACACAGAGAAGAGGATATGTTGACTATGGACGCGGATTTAAAAGGTGGCAATCTCCACGGGCAGATACCGCCACATCCACACCAAGGAGTCTCGCCAATGAGCCACCACGCGAGCATGTCTCCGTACGGGTCCTTGGGACCGATAGTCCACAGCCAGGCCCTTTCTTCAGGCAGTCCGCCAAACTCTGCGGCCCTGAGTGCCTTAACTCTGCATCACCACCAGCAGCAACAACACTTTGCGTCAATGCAGGCGATGCAGCAGCAGCAACAACAGCAACAGCAGCAGACGATGCATTCCCTGGCCCAGCACTCGCACCAGCAAGCGCAGCAGCCACCCCAACCGGCCCAGCAGCAGCACCAGCCGACTAACAATAACAACAACAACAACAGCAAAAACAACAACGTCGACCGGGTGAAGCGCCCGATGAACGCATTCATGGTCTGGTCCCGCGGGCAGCGTCGCAAGATGGCCCAGGAGAATCCCAAGATGCACAATTCTGAGATCTCCAAGCGGCTGGGAGCCGAGTGGAAGATGCTGAGCGAGGCAGAAAAGCGGCCGTTCATCGACGAGGCCAAAAGGCTCCGGGCTGTCCACATGAAGGAACACCCGGACTACAAGTACCGGCCCAGAAGGAAAACAAAGACCCTTCTCAAGAAGGACAAGTACCCGATGGCGAACGCCAACGCGGGTCTCATCAACATGGACCCCAGGCAGGTGAACCCTTCGAATCCGGCCCAGCAGTCTCAGATTCCCAGGGACATCTACAACGGGTACATGCCCAACGGGTACGTGATGCACGATGGTTCTGCCTATCCGCAGCATCCCTATGCAGGACACCTGGCCGGGTACCAGAGGTACGAAATTCCTCCCCACATGGCCGGCGGCAACTCCAGTCCGTTGAACAGCTACGTTAACGGATATGCCAACTACGGAGGCGCCATTCCTGCAGGCTCGCCCTCTCCTTACCACTCGGCCCAACCTGGCTCCCAGATGTCCAGCCACAGTCCCAGCGGGAGCAGCATCAAATCCGAGCCGACGAGTCCTGCCAGTGCGGGAATCCACACTCCGACGCCGATCAGCTCTGCACCTGGGTCTCAGGTCAAGAGAGAGTATCTCGCTCAGCAGAATCCTTCTCAGGGTGGTGACATCAGCCAAATGATCAGCATGTACTTGCCTCCCAATAATCAGGCTGAACAGCGAATTCAGCACAATCCTGGAGGAGTTTACTCGCCCGGACCTGGACCATCGCCGGACTCTTTGATACCGCACCACACCGGAATGCCAGTTTCACTCAACCACCACCACATGTAAGCTTTTTGCATCGATAGTTTTTAGAATTTGTATATAAGAGGCAGGTAGATTGGGAGGGTCAGGATTTTTTTGTCAGAAATTATTCTAAATAAAAATTTATTTCAAAAGAAAGGTTCTGTGTTTTTAATTATGCCGAAATTTGTTTTCATTTTTTGAGTTTTTAATTTTTTTAGTTAGAATATTTATTGATTGCGCTTAACAAATTTTTTATTTTTTAACAGTTTGGTGTTGTTAGGCAGTGTTTAACTCTTAAAACTACAGAAAAAAATTTCAGTTCTTTGATGATAAAATTAATTAAAATAGGAGTAATAATTGTGAATAAATTTTTTCTGGAGTTTAATACAGCCTAAAAAAAATTCTCAGGTATTCAAACCACCAAATATCAGATTGTAAGAGTATAAAAAACGTTTATGAGATAATGCGCCAATCAGTAAAGTTGACGATTATAAACTACACAACACATTAAAACATTATAATTTTATGTATATCATTTTTGCCATTCGGCTTTGTGCCTTGGCATTAAACCTAATAAATAAATAAATAAATAAAATACAATAAATGTCATCGCCTTCACTTAGATTTACTTTGTTGTAATTAGTATAGTTATTTTTTGTCTTTATCGCGGCGGTCAAATATTGAGCCACTTGAGTTATACAATAATTCAAGTTTAGGAAAGACTATATAATTGGATCATTTTATAAAAATTTTTTAAACTAAAAAATTAATTTGATTTAAAAGAAGGAATTTTGAACCGAGAAAATAAATTTGGAGAAGTTTATTTTTTTTTTAAAGCAGAAAAATTATTTCTGCATTCATAAAAATAATTCATAATGGTTCAAGAATTTTTTCTTTAAATTGAGTTGCTTTTTTTTTTTGAAAGTTTAAATTGCAATTTACTCGATATTTAACCTACTGCCTCAAAACTATTTATCGGTGAAATAACCATCGAAAATTGAAAATTGATGAATGATAATTAACGAAGATATTTTTTTGAAATAATTAAACACAGATGGAGAAGCATTTACGCATAGGCAAGTAGTTTTCCTCCTCCCTAATTCTACTTTTGCGGTGTGATAGAAATCAGATGCGTGACCAACAGAAACACCTAATAAGACTCGACGCATTTAAAATTATAAATAAAAATATAAATAAAGATATATTAATTATTATTATAATTATTGACGATAAGTACATTGAGTATAACGATCTTATTTGTTAAGGGATTAAATTTTGTAAATATTAAATATTATTTATGTATTCATTATTAAGATTTAATATAATTGTACATAAATTAGACTAAGGACCTGAATTTGCCACAAAACTATAGTTATTGATATGAATATGGGGACGAGCGAGGTAGTGATAGTAATAAATAATTACCGAAATGTCAGAAATAAATTTTGGAAAGGGTCGTAATAGTTAATTTAAAAACAAAATTACTATTATGTACAAAAGACGTAAATATTTACACAAAATGGTAATATCAGGTATGTCATTAGATATTATTTATGATATATATATATTTATAAATATATATATTTACTTTAATAATGATTTTATATCTCACATATGTTACAGTCAAAACATCTACATTAGATTCTGTATCTAATAATTTGAAGAATTAAACTGATTTTTTTTCAAGTTGAAATAATTTTAGTTATATTTTTTTAACATATTATTATTATCATTATTATTATGTATTATTATTATTTTAAACTACAATAATTATTAAACATATAATACACTACTACTCTAACTATAGTAATAATAATTGATTATTATTTTGTATCAATAATAAATATTACTGAAATAAACATTTATATTAACATATAAATCAATGACTGTGATTTCATAACGCCTATATATGTAATTCGTTTTATGAAATTATTACCGATCTTATAATGATGATTTAAATAGGATAATAATTTCTTAAGAAAAATAATAAAATCTGTTTATTTTGGAAATAATATTGTTTTGTAAAAAATCGATATCACTCTTATAATAACTGATAAATATCTTTTAAATTATTATTATTATAATTAATATTATTATTACTCTTATTATTATTTTTGTTGGCAATTAATAAATGAATGATGAATTTAAAAAGTAACGTCTATTATTATATATTATACATATATATATATATAAATATTATAAATTATTAGAGTATTGTTTCTGTAAGTATTGGAAGTTAAAGCCTTATTATCAATTGATTAATGAATTATTAAATATTTAAAATTATTAGAATGATGAGTAAGGATTTAATTTTGTGTATAAGAAGCATAAATGTTTTTTTTTTTAAACATATGTTGAATTATTTGACTGATCAGATTTGAATATATAAGTCTTCAAAACTTTATTTTATGAGTGTTTTTTATATTTATATTAACCTTACACTTTTCACTACACATTTCCTTTTTTTGATCCTTTTTATTATTATTATTATTATTATTATTATTATTTTTATTATTTTTATAATAACAATAACTACACACAAGGATACAGGTAATTATATATTTTGTGACAAGATTATTATTCTCAATTCAACTTAAAAAAAAAAAAATATTCAACACTTTAAGGAAGTACGAGCACGGTATTAAAATAAAAATAATCACCGACTGTAAAAATTAATTTGATATTGATATGAGTTCTAATTTTAATTAAAGAGTTCATTCAATTCACCTTGTAATTTTTTTTTTAATATTCAGCGCAGATCTCTTGTGAGCGAAAAATGTTTAAAGGTTCCTTCGTTAGACCGATATTAATAATTAAAAAAAAAATTGCCTACTTTTGGAGTTAATTTTTTAACCACACAGAAAAAAAAATTAACTTGAATCAAGTAAAAATTTCTTGAACCAAGAAAATAATTTTGAAAAGTTTCATTGTCTTGAATCAAGATGAAAAATTCTTGAATCAAGTAAAATTTACTTAAGCCAAGAAAAATTTCTTGGTTTAAGAATTTTTTTACTTAATTCAAGAAGATTAAGTTTTTCAAAATTATTTACTTGATTCAAGTAAATTTTTTTTTCTGTGCAAACATGCGGCTAAATTTTCAGAATTAAATTGTACGTATTTAAACTGGATAAAAATCACGTTTTAAAATGATGACTGTGCTTGCACATCCTTAATTAATTTAAATTTAATATAAACCAAAGTAAATTGCCATGTTTAAAATAAAAAAGACTCAAATATTTTTCATGCATTTTCGAATTGTATAATATTCATATATACTTATGTCTGATATCGATTTTTTTGTTTACATATTTACGTCTTCTCAATAAAATCTTGATCACATACGCACAAAAATTTAGCAAATATACTAATGTCCATAAATTGGGTAAAGACATCTTATCTGCACATACTTTTTATACGTGTAGCCAAATATTATTCGGCAATAAGTTATGGAAAGTTTTTAAAATTAATATGATAAGACTTTGTTTATGTCTTGAACAGCGAAGAATTTTTAATTTTTGGATATTTTTAGACCCACGTGTATACATATTTTTATTATCTTAATGTGTAGACTCTAGATTAGGCTGAAATTTTGTAACACTTGTTTTTTTCTTTCGGAATTTATTTGCAAATAAAAATTTAAATGTACTAAAATTTTTTCATTATAATTTCACGGCCATGAAGCTTAGAACAAATCAGCTGATACTTTTCTATTGTTTCATAAAGCAGCTGGTTTATTTCGAGCTTATTTTGATATTAAATATACAATAACATACGAGCATCTGTTAAGTAACTCCGGTTATTGACATTGCTTATCAAATATACGAAAACCTAAAATTATATTTTTATCAAATTTCTAGCTTTAAATAGTTTCTTAAAGCAATCATTTTGACTAAAGACAAATATTTATATTTTCAAAAAATTAAATATTTTGCAATTTAGTGAAAATTTTCAATGAATTTTTTCCAATAAAAATACTTTTCGATATATTTAAAAAATTTTCCTAAAGTGAAATTCTATCAAAATTTGCACTTACAAGCTTAGAAAAGCGATTTTTGAATCATTTTTTCTAAAGAGGCTTTTTAATTAATCAATATTAAAAATAATATACATATAGTAGTGATTTTAAACTTTATTGATAAGTTCCTTTTGTTTTTATGAATAATGATTTTTCTAACTCTCGTAGACGATATCCGGAAAATCCTATAAAAAAAAGGTTACTTGCGGTGACCACAATATCTTTAGTTTAAATCATCGAAATTCAAAAATCCAAAAAAATTCCACTAATATAAAATATCATCTAGTGATTCACGAATTTCGATGAAAATTTTAGCCTTAAATTATATATAAAAATATAAAATATTTCTGGAATTATTAATCGTTGGACTAATTACTGGAAAATATAGTTGAGAAAATTGTTTCAAAATTAGAGATTGATCTTATCAGTCGTTTTTTGATAAATGTGGCTCACAGATTTTGAAACTTCAAAGGCCTTTAAAGTTTTTGACTACAGCTCCATTGTTATGCGGTTCTCTCAAATTGGAATTTACAAATATTCGAATAACTTGAAAATACGATTGTTTTGTATACAGTTAAATATATCAACATTACAAAAATAAAAAAAATTGATATTTCAAAAATTCTAAACGCGTATTAATTCTCTGAAGTGTCAAAAATGCAGACCATCAAAAATCAAACCATAAAATTTCTAAGAAACAGTGTAAATCAATATATTTATTATTATAAATAACCCTAAATTTCCAGTCTAGTATACGATGACACTGGAGTGATGGGGAAGAGTCTACACGCGGTATATATTAATAACCATCAAGTAAAGTAAAAGTTAGAGTGAACATTAGCAATAAACCGCGTGTCATGCAGGGAATCGCTGAAAGTAAAATAGCTAGAGAGAGTCGAGGATTTTAGAGGTTTGTTATGGCCAATAGTGCCCCTATACACCCACTTATGTGTATACACACTTACATCCTCGCATATCTTCGCATATTCACATGTGTTCCTTGCAATATATTAATAAATGTGAAACTATC